GTTTTTAAGTATCCACTAGTGGGTACATTCCTCTTCTTTGTCTCCATCTCTATCTTTCACTCCATCTCACATTTCAGTATAGTTCAAGTTTCTGCATTTGAGAATGCTAGAAGGGAAGCATTCTGCAAAGAAATTCAAAGTGATTCTATGAGACTAAAGTTTGCACACAAAGTCACTAAGAAAAGACATAGGTAAAATAGCATGTTTGAATCTGTATTGAAGGAACCATGCTCCAAAATGAACTTCTAGAGCTTTGCTTGACTGTGAGCCTTAAAAGCAATCTTATAAATGTAACAGTAACCAAGACCAGTTTGAAGCCAGGTGAACAGAAAAAGAGCCCCCATTCCCGGAGGAAGCTAGACAGGCCAAGACTGGATGGCCTCCACTCGAGGCCCAGTGGACCCAGCCATCCCCATGCAATACAAGGACAAAGGCCCAGCAAATGAAGCTCTAGTGTCCAGCCCATAACAAAGCAGGTGTTCACATAAAACTTTGCACAAAGGTAGCATTGTCCTCAACAAGTGCAATGTAAATGCTTCTCAGAAATAGTTCTGTACAGGGCAGACAAGGGATAGAAAAAAATAACAAGGGGAAACAGCTGCAACAGAGCTGCTCTGGGTGTTAATCAAGCCATATCCCACACCACAAGAAGGCTTATATCAAAGACCTTAATTTTCCCCAAAGGCCTTGTTTTTACCTTGATTTAACAATTCTCACTGGTAGCATCTGTTGTCTTCATCCATGCAGGCCCCAAGCTGGAAGTTCTGTTGCTCCTGCCAGCTTGTTGTTGGTAGCCCCTCAAGGAGAAACACTCCCTGCAAGGAGATTTGGCTTTATTTTTATCCTAGTTAAGTCCCTATCCAATCCATTAACAGCTAGGTTAACCTTGGTCCAGGGCATTTCCTGGAGAAGCTATAACCAGCTGGGGTTAATGAACTCTCCCTACCATTAATTCCTGGGAGAGGCCATTGGCCTGAATTGTTACTTAATTACTCTTCTGTGTACAGCTTCATAAAGCAATGAAATGCCTTCTTTCAGGAAGAAGGGAGATGGTAATGGGGGTCATGAGAGGCCATTAATTTTACAAATAATTTGTTAGAAACTACAGTATGTTAAGAAGTCACTCTGGCTCACAAATCAACTCACAGTGGCCCTCATTAAGTAGGTATCTGAAACTTCACAGGTTTCCTTGACTCGTATACACAAATTGTCCCAAATTATGCAGAATCTGGCCAAAATTTATACACATTCAGGTATACATAAACATATCCCTCATATTTCATAACTATTCTCTTCCTACAGTTGTCAGGACAACCCCAGTGGAGACACTTGGACACATCCCAGACATTTCCATGTTACAAACCTCTTGTGGGCAACCTCTCTGTGTTTCAGGCCTTTCTCTTTCTCCAGAGCTCTTCTCTCTCCCCACATGGTGATGTCACCACCCGTACAGGTCCATAGACGCAGATTCATTTGCTTCCTGCTGACCAAATCAAAGGAGGCTATTTATATCAGTAAAAAAGGAAAAAGGGATTTATTCAAAGTGAGCTCTGAGATCGAAGAGCCTTGTAACTAAATCACCATCTCACTTTGTACATGAGGTTAGCATGTTTAACAATAAGGAATAGTGGAAAAGGAAATGGTATGAGGCAATAGACACCTTCATACTTGTTCCATACCTCTGTGACCCAGACCTCTTCCTCCCTTGACTAAGGAAGTGAAACTGAATGTTGACCTTCTGGTGCTGGTGTAGTCTGCTGGGGGGGGGGGGTGTTATGCTCTAACCTCAAGAAGTTTGGAGATGCCACTTGTCTCTAAAGGAAAAAAAATCTAACTTTTAAAGTTCCATTTTGCCATGGCACTTACACTGGTAGATGCAAGGAAGAGCTGCAAATCCATGGTCCTTCTCAGGGAAAGCCTGGGGCTTTGTGCCTCTCTTTTTGTCTGCTCTTGGTTCTGCTGGACTGTGTCCACCCTGCAAACACTTGGCTCTGCCCTTGTCCACCACACTTCTTCCCACAGCTACCAACCTTTCCAAGATTGGGATAGCCTACCTGCTTTCTCTGTACCATTTGGTTTAAAATTGTGACACCTGCTACACACACACACACACACACATACACACACACACACACTGCCTTTCTTCTTACCCTGTTCACCGGTTGATTTTTTTCACTGTGTTTATTATATAAAATGAAATTGACTTTTTTATTTTGCTGACTTTGTCACTCCTGTATCCCTCCAACACACACACACACACACACACACACACACACACACACACTGTGTGCACCTACCTTCTAAGGTGAATTCTGAAAGCAGAAATGCTCCAGCTTATTCTGTTCTCCCCCCCCCCCCACACACACACACCATGTGCCTGGAGAACACAGGTTTTGTTCAGTGTTTTAAATGCATGCTGTATGAATGAGTAGTTAATTGGGCGCATGATGGGATCCTACCAGAAGCCGAAAGGCCCAAAGTTCCCATTTTAGTTACCTTTGTGCAGGAAGGAAGGCTTAGCCACTAGGAAAATGAAAAACAGAGGCCGCCCCTTCACAGGGCCTAGAAATCAAGATTCTTCTCACTCTCTACCGATGGCCTTCCTCACCGCGTGCACTCCGGCCACCACCCCACAGAAATGCTCCGGCTACCCGCAGTCCTTCCCCAGGCCAGGCCAGTGTTCTGGGCGCTGGCCCCGCAGCTCACTCGGGCTTATGCCAACGACATGAAATTTGGTGTGGACGCCCGCGCCCTCATGCTTCAGGGTGTAGACCTCCTGGCCGATGCCCTCACCATGACAATGGGGCCAAAGGGAAAAACAGTGACTACTGAACAGAGTTGGGGAAGTCCCAAGGTAACTAAAGATGGTGTGACTGTTGCAAAGTCAATTGATTTAAAGGATAAATACAAGAATATTGGAGCTAAACTTGTTAAAGATGTTGCCAATAATCCAAATGAAGAGGCCCAGGATGGCACTGCCACAATGACAGTCCTAGCACGCTCTATTGCCAAGGAAGGCTTTGAGAAGATCAGCAAAGGCACAAACCCCATGGAAGTCAGGAGAGGGGTGATGTTAGCTGTTGATGCTGTGATTGCTAAATTTAAGAAACAGTCCAAACCCGTGACAACCCCTGAAGAAATTGCTCAGGTTGCTACAATTTCTGCAAATGGCAACAAAGAAATTGGCAACATCATATCTGATGCCATGAAGAAGGTGGGCCGGAAGGGCGTCATCACAGTGAAGGATGGAAAAACCCTGAATGATGAATTGGAAATTATTGAAGGCATGAAGTTTGATCGAGGATATATTTCTCCATACTTTATTAACACATCAAAAGGCCAGAAATGTGAATTTCAGGATGCCTATGTGCTACTGAGTGAGAAGAAAATCTCTAGCGTCCAGTCCATTGAACCTGCTCTTGAAATTGCCAATGCTCACCGGAAGCCCTTGGTCATAATTGCTGAGGACATTGATGGAGAAGCTCTCAGTACCCTGGTTTTGAACAGGCTGAAGGTTGGCCTTCAGGTTGTTACTGTCAAAGCTCCAGAGTTTGGTGACAACAGGAAGAACCAGATGAAAGATGTGGCAATTGCAACTGGTGGTGCGGTGTTTGAAGAAGAGGGTTTGATGTTAAATTTTGAAGATGTTCAGCCTCACGACTTAGGGAAAGTTGGAGAGGTTATCGTAACTAAAGATGATGCCATGTTTTTGAAAGGCAAAGGTGACAAAGCACAAATTGAAAAACATATTCAAGAAATCACTGAGCAGTTAGAAATCACAACCAGTGAATATGAGAAAGAGAAACTGAATGAGCGGCTGGTGAAGCTTTCAGATGGAGTGGCCATGCTGAGGGTTGGTGGGACAAGTGACTTCGAGGTGAATGAAAAGAAAGACAGGGTCACAGATGCCCGCCCTCAATGCCACTAGGGCCACTGTGGAGGAAGGCATTGTGCTGGGCGGTGGGTGTGCCCTGCTCCGTTGCATTCCTGCCCTGGACACCTTGACTCCTGCTAATGAAGATCAAAAAATTGGCATAGAAATTATTAAGAGAACTCTGAAAATCCCTGCGATGACCATTGCGAAGAACGCGGGTGTGGAAGGATCTTTGATAGTAGAGAAAATCCTGCAGAGCTCCTCTGAAGTTGGTTATGATGCTACACTTCAAGATTTTGTGAATATAGTAGAGAAAAGGATCACTGACCCAACAAAGGTCGTAAGAACTGCTCTGCTGGATGCTGCAGGGGTGGCCTCTCTGTTAACAATGACAGAAGTTGTGGTCACAGAAATCCCTAAGGAGGAGAAGGACCCTGCCATGGGTACCATGGGTGGGATGGGGGGCGGGATGGGCAGTGGGATGTTCTAACCTACAAAGCGCTTGGCCTTCGCTCATGAACTGTGACAGGAAGCACCCTCCTGGGTCCTCCCAGTAACTGGAGACTTACATGAAGGAGATGAAGAGCAGGCTGGCTGGTGCAAGGAAGCCACATGCCCACCATTGCTGGTTTCAGCTACAATATATATAATGGTTTACCGCTGTCATTGTCCATGCCTACAGATAAATTATTTTGTATTTTTGAATACAAAAACATTTGTACATTCCTGAAACTGGGTGTCAGAGCCACATATGAGTATACTGCTTTAAACTTCAAATCACGGAAGCAATTCTACTACTATTTTGTTACGGTCAGGATTCTAGTGCTTGCCGTCACAGACAGAAGTCAGAAGCAGCCTTTCTGTGGAGTGGAAGAACAATGGTGTACAAAATAAAGATCATTGCAACAAGCTTTGTGTAATAAAAATCTGTTTAAAGTTAAAAAAGAAATCAGATTCTTGGAACCTAGCACTGCATAGAATGGCTCCATTATGAAGCCCTCAGACCCAGTTGAGACTCTGATTGCAGGAAAGAGAAGCCATTGCCCCCTACCCTACTGTGACATCTGGAGTCATGACCTCTCAGAAGGTTCTGAGATTCTACTGAGATTCTTTTCTAGTAGGAATAGATTTGACTCCTCAGAAGCCAATTGACTAGGGCAGGATTGGAAGACAATACACTGCAGAAGGAAAGTAGAGTTTGTAGAAGAAATAGAGAAAACACTAGAAACTTAAGGGCCAAGATAACCACAAAATTTACTTCTGCTTGGTTTTCTGAGCTCATTTTGATACTGTGTTAGTATCCCAAAGTCCATGTGGAGGCCTAGCAGGGGAGCAGAGATATTTCTTAGATGTTTGATGCTCCCATATTGATGCCCCTGGAGAGGGCCTTAAGGAGAGCAAGTTGATTTAGAGAAACAGGAACTTTAGATTTGATAACCTTCATTTCTTCTCAATATCTAGTATAAAATTACAAGTAGGTTTATACTAGTAGGCTATCTCTGAATGTATTTTCTAGCAGGACATGTATTGAATCTTCTGCCCTTATCCCTGTACCCTCATTGCTTTCTTACTGAGGCATAGTCAGATTGGGTACAGGACAAACAGAAAGCTGGGCAGTTTGTGGATGGATTAAGGTGACTGGAGGGAAGAAACAAGTTAAATTAGTTTCTGCCTCAATGACTCTGCACTTCATGAATGTACTCGTTTCTCTAATTCATTAGATACATCTCTGCTGGCATTTTAGAGAATGGAAGACCAAAGGGAAGTTCATCAAGATTACCAGTAAGTAATCATGATGGTACAGAGACACATGCAAAGGCCGAGGTGGGGATCAGGTCTGCTGCAAGTTCCTTCACTACCTCCTTGCAACAACTACCCAGCCGGCCCCCATTGCACCTTTTCCAAGCACCTCATTCCCTCATAAAGTGGTAACGATTGTAAATTCTCCATCCAAGCTGGCTTTTCCAAGGTAGATCTCTGTTTCCCAATATTATGCTTTATTCCTGCCCAAAACAAAGTCCCTAAACCTTAATACCTTATTCCTGGTTAATTGCTTTGGAGACAAACCAATGAACTAATTCTTGAGCAATAAATAGAAAAGTTTATTGAGAGCCTCCTATGTGTCGTAAAGCCTTTCTCGACTATTCTAAAAGTATCAATTATTTCACTGAAATTTATTTTTTAATGTTTTATTTATTTGCTTATTTATTTGGTACATGGTCTTGTTATGCAGCTCAGACTCATAGTGATTCTCCTGTCTCAGCCTCCTCAGTGCTGGGATTACAGGCATGCACCACCATGCCCAGTTCCAGGCCAGCACAGCACAGGACCTGCATGGCATGCTGTACTGGGGATAGAACCCAGGTCCTTGTGCTTGCCAGGCAAGCACTTAGACTGCCAAGCTATCTCCCCAGATCCCTGAAATTTATTTTTTAAAAGATACTTCTCTTCTTGAAATCTGAGCCTGGAGATTTCTGTGCTTGCTCAGTGGAATGGCTGTCATGACAGAATCACAAACACTCTAGTAGGCAAATGGAAGAAAAGGAGGGGTAGGATGAGAGGGGGAAAGATGGAAGCAGGTAGAAATCTTTCTTGTCTCTGTATAAAACTGGCCCAACCAGGAGTGGCATACCAGGTGCCTAGATAAAAATACCAATAAAAATGTATTGCATGAGCAGCTTTCGTGAACAATTTAGGAAAGGTTGCTAAGGGAAACAATTCTCTCCATTGCAAGTGGCTATTTAGGGAAACAGTTTTTCATTAAACCAGTGTGGAGGTGTATCACAGACTAACCGGCCCACAACCTCCTAAACAAGTGGACAGTGAAGGCTTAAATAAAAGAAACCAATGGTATGATTTTAGGACTCCAGGAGGATCAATACCTGTAGCCGAATTCAAGGTTCTCTGGGGGCTGAGACAAAGACCTTCTCTGGGTGGCCTGTATTTATTTGTTCTTCAAACAAATAAGGGAGGATTGTGAGGAAAGTAGAGAATAGAGCAGGACCTTGGGAGTCAGTCCAAAGACTTTCTCAAGTGGTAAATTATGCTAATTACGTCTAGGTTGACATTCACCACAGGAGTGAGAAACCTACAGCTACGGTCTCTATTTAGTTAATTGGGGTTGGATCTAGGCATCCTCAGCCATGACTGTAGCTTGTCCCTCACAACCACGTCATAGACCACTACATATCTCAGCCAGCAACCCTGATTCATAAGGGTTCACTTACTATAAAGCCACTGAGACAGACTCACAAGTAAACATACAAAGCCAATTGATAAATTTTAAATCCTACTCAGAGCCACTTCATAGCAGTTTCTATCAGAGATGCACTATTATTTTGAGCACTTTAGAAAAGAAAGCCCAGAAAAGACATCCCTTGTTCGAGTTGAGAAATCTTTTTTCTTTTTCCCAATGGTACCAGGGATCGAACTCAGGACCTTGCACTTGCCACACAAGCACTTATTCCACTGAGCTATTTCCCCCAGCCCTGAGATGAGAAATCTTACAACAAATTATAGACCATGACTAAGAAATATGATTTTTAAGAATGAAAAAGAGAAACGATGTTCCCAGGAAGAGCACGGCTGATAGATTGACTTCCTGATGTCCCTCTTGACTCAGGAATTATTGATCTTAAAATAACCAGCTTTTATTTATTTGGGCTCTGAATCCATAGATCAGAAAAAATGGAAATCTTAAAGTTGGCCCAGTCAAAGAGGAACATTATCAGTCTGAACACGGACCTTGAAAAGGACATGCAGAGGATAGATGAAGCAAATCAGGAGCTGCTTCTCAAAATCCAAGAGAAAGAACACGAGATTCAGAAGTAAGTAGCAGAGGTTGAAGAGGAAGATTTTCAATCCAAAGGAAAGGAGTGGGAAGAAAAGGCTAAACTCAGTTTCTATACTTAGAGACCTATATCTTGTGAAGCAGTAACTGTAAGTTTCAAGTAGATTATTTACAAACTAGGTCATAGATGAATTGAGAAAAGCATGGGGTGTTTGGCATGGAAGTCAACCAGATCTTACTTTGAGTGCCTCAGAAATGATTCTGAGTCCATGGTTCCAGTCAAGATGGATTTCCCACTTCAACTACACATATCTCATTATTGAAGTGTCCTTCAAACTGATCTCTGTGTTTTATCTGTTCCAAAACTGCCAATCATGAGTCATCCACCATTCTTGTGTCACACAGGTTAGAAATTGAGATCACCCAGTTGGGAGACTCAGCAAAAGAGGAGGAGTGGGAGAAAGACAACTTCTCTGTGCTGGAAAATGAAAGAGCCTTGCAGAAGCTGGAAGAAAAGACAGCCAGACTTGTAAGTGCAACGCTGGGAAGAGTCACTCAGGAGGCCCCTTTCTCACTTAGTCTCTTTTTACATGCTCTTCGCATGACAGAGTGGGGCCCTGCACTGAAGGGAGCAAGTGGAGAGTAGGGTTTCTTTGGTGATGTTTAATGTTGGGAAACTCTACGAGGAGAGATCTATATTCCTGTGGAGTTGGCACATTCCTGTTGTTTTGATCTCAAGATCTACTTACACCATTCAAGTAAGATGGAGTTACTGCCACTGCGAGAGGGACAGCAATCAGCTGCGTCGAAACAGGTGACAATGATGTGCCCTTGCAGACTTCTGTCTACTTCTTTCTCTCCCCAGGAAAAGAAGAACGAGACTCTGGTCCATAGTATAACAGAACTGCAGAGAAAGGTGGGGGAGCTCTGTGTTCCCCAGTGTCCCCACAGCACCCTCATTAGCCAAGAGGTGGGGGAGAAGGAACCCCTGTATCAACAGGCCTGAGCTTAAAGTGGGTGCTGCCTGTGACCCAGGCTCCCAAAGCTGAGCTTACTCCTGTAAGCCACCATTTTTGTCTGTGAGCAAAAGGTGAAGGATGTAAATGATAATTTTTTATGTATTTAGTACAGGGTCTATAGGGTCTTACTATGTAGATCGGACTCATAATGATCCTCCTGTTTTCAGCCTCCCAAGCACTGGGATTACAGGTGAGAGCCACGACGCTCTGTCTCATTCACCATCTCAATGTGCCCCGGGGGCAGCACCAGCATGGCAGGCTGGGGATCAAACCCCAGTCCTTGTGTCTGCCTAAGCAGGCACTTTAATCCGCTGAGCTATCAGGCTGGCCCAAAGGACTGAATGAGATCCTTAGAGATTATATATGCCTGGGTTCTTCATTTTCTCAAAAGAAAACAGCCCAGAAGACACTCTGTAGAAATGACTGGTACCTTCAACAGAGACTTTAAAATACACAAACACAGCTAACTCAATCCCCAGTGATATCCTTTCCCTTGCTTAGGCATGTCCTCTACCCCAACTCCTGTTCAGAGGACAATGGGCTTGCTCTGGTTGCTGTCCTCTCTGGCCCATGCCCTGAACAGCCCTACAAGAATCAGAAGTTGGGGGAACATCCTATCTTGAGTGAACATTAATCCTGATATATGAGACTAGTGAAAAGAGGACAGAGATAGAACATCAGATATCTACTACTAGGCTGACATCTTTTATCAAGCTATAATTACTGATCCACACACATCAAAGCTTGTCCAGGATGTCCCTATTATTTTAACTAATGTATTTTTATTTGAAATATATATATATTTTTATTTGAAACTGTAGCTTGCAAAGAAATCACACAAGACAACCAAGTGTGAACAATGCGATCTGGACAGAGCCCCTGAGGAGTTGGAGGTAAATATAAAAAAATATCCTGCGTGGGTTTGGATGGTGACCAGGAGACAAGCTGTTGAATCAGAAGAGAAGATAAACTTGGAACAAATGTTTTGAATTTTTCTCCCATGTCAGGTTTCAGCCCGAGCTCCAAGGGGCTGAGTTCTCTTCCTCCACCCTCAGTATAGTTTTACTCTGAAACCAGATGGTTTATTCTGTCTTCTGTTAGGAAGAATAGGGCACCAATACATAGGTAACAGTTCAAGCAGTTGACAAATAGCTGCACCACTTAATTGGATGGGTTAATTTGGGCAATGTAATCACTCCCTTGCAAACTCAATTTGAGGATAAAATGAGATTATGCATAAAATATTCTTTTTCTAAGCCCTCACAGAGTTGCACAACTTTATGATCTAAAAGGATGGCTGGGATGTAGAAATTCAGCAGACTAATGGTATGCTTGCTTCAAACCCTTGTGACTGGCACCATTGGGCTGAAACTATGTCTTTTGAAATGCTTGGCTGATTAGCCCCAGATGCAACTGACAGACATGAAAACTGCTACTGTGACCCTTCTGTGTGCCACCATACCCTGGACAGTGAAGTAGTCTCCTGGCCACCCTCCCTGCTTCTACTCTTAATCCTAAACGAGCCATTGTCATGCACAGAAAAATCTGCCTTTAAAGATATAAATCAGATTGTGTGTTGATACTTCAAGCCCTCTCCTGGTTTCTTGTTGCAATTAGGGACCAAACTCTTTTCAGAAGCTGCAGAGTCCTACATAATCTGGCTGCTCTTTGCCTTTCCCACTTTTTCTCCCTCTCTGGGAAGCTTCAATTCCTGCATACCAGATTTAACCTACTTTCCAATCTTGACCTTGGCCGTATCTCCCCCATAGAAGATAGTTCTTCCAGATCTCCATTTTACTAATATTTATTATCTGGATTTCAATGCCAGTGTTACCTCACTAAACCACCTAACACATGATGCCCTGATACCAACCCCACACACTAAATTGTATTGGTAATCTGTTTTTAATTTATTTGTATTCATACCATTGTCATGTTACATGTTAGGCTCCCCAATGAGAGACCACTGTGAGGTTGGAAACTCCACCTCTTCCCCTTTGTCTCAGTTACTTTTCAGTCATTGCTGAGACAAAATACCTGACACTCAAAATTAAGGAAGGAAAGGTTTATTTAGCTCACGGTTTATGGCGGTTTCAGCCCATACTTGGGTGGCTCCAAGGCAGAGTAGAACATGGCAGAGAGCCGCAACTCATAGCTGCAGAAAACATCAAAGAGCAAAGGCAAGGGCATCAGCTGCAGCTTCTAGCCAGCCTCTCTCCCCTCTTTATGTTATAAACAAGCTACCCTGTGGTGGAGTGGTAGAACCCACACACTGTCCATGCCTTCCTCTGGTTTGGGATAAGGTTGTTTACAAAGTGAGAACCCTGGCTCCCTGCTGAGTGATTTAATTAAATGTACTTCTCAAGTTGACACAGTGTATCAACCAATACATCCCTATTGGTCAGCACTCTCTCGTACACACCTACCCTTCATACCCATGCCTACTGCTAATGAAGAACAGTGTTTTATTCATTTATGAAAAGAAGTTGGAGAACAAATATGGGGAGGGTAAAGAAGAGAACAGAAGCCTGGATTCTAATTTTAAAAAGGAACAGAAGAAGTGAAGTATTCAATGCTGAATTTATTTCCAAAAGAAAAAGCAAGAAAGCCAAGAACTCAAGTTTAGGGATGAGAATAAAACCAGATGAAAGCCATATGCAGAGGGGTGGGGTCACCAAGCAGCTGCAGAAAACCATGGGATGGTTTAACCTCTGTGTCAGAGAGACACCAGAAACCATGCCCAAGTGCTCTTCAGCAGCCTGAGAGATGATCTTTGCATAAGAGGCAATTTTCACCTTGCTGATACCCTTCCCTTTCTATAGGTTAAGTTACACCAGTTGGAATCTTCCTGTGTAGACCAAGAAAGGAAACTGGTCAAGGTAACATGCGAACTTCAATGCTACTTCTCCCCAACAAAGGGTTGCTTGATCTTTGGTCAATCTAATGCATTCTGTAAATGACTGACTGTAACCAGGCTCCTGTCTGAGGCTCACGTTGGAGACAGCAGGTGGCAAGGAGAGATGAAGTACAAACACCCCACCACATCATCTTATATGTAACGGGTTTCATCCTATCCTCTATATCTTTTTCTCCCCACTAGGCCCAAGTAATTCTCATTTGGACTATGAAACATGATTTATAAAACATATCCAAAATGAAATTAATTTATACATATATATGCAAAAAATTAGAAAACTCCACTTTGAGTCTGAGCCACAGGAGGAACCATGTAAACACCTTCCTGGAGTAGGGTCCAGTGAATGTCTTGGCTTCCTAGGTAATAGAAGACTACACATTCGTAGTGCAGCTCTGTGAAGACCAAGCCCTCTGCATAAAGGTACAACTTCTTGGCTAAGTGACAGAAAAAGTGTTTCTAATGGAAAGGTTAAAATACCCTTGGCTGTTAACATAATCCTATCTAGAATTTTAGTTTTTTCATGGTGGTGCTATCAGGAGACTTTAAAGTCAGCAGCGTGCCATCGCCACTATCCCTTGACGGTCTCTGGACTCCCAGTAATCCCACCCTGTAGCGAGTCCTTCCGGCTTCTTCCATGTCAGTGGTGAGGTAGAATCAGAGAACAGGAGCGGCAGAGGTGTGGGGGTCTACGCTAGCAGAGGAAGTCATAGCAGGAATTCCACACACCCCTGTCATAGCGTAGCAAGTGCTTAAGCTTAGTGGAGACCATAGCATTGAGTGAAATAAATTAGACACACAAGCCTAAACATGGTATGGTTTCTCTTATATGAAAATCCCAAAATATGAACAAAGAGCTACATAAGAGATAGACAACAGGAAGTAGGGGGTAGATCTTTTTCAAATGGGAAGCTGATGGAGATGGAGAGGAGGGGAGGAAAGGGGGATGAGAAAAGCACTAATATGTGCTGTGCACGTGCACCAAACCCACACGGGGAGTGTGAGCATGTGGCACTGCAAAAGTGAACAAAAAAAAAGGAAATTGTTTAAATGATAGTGATACGTTTGGAAAAATCACCTGTAGGAAATAACTGGCTTCCTTTTCTTTTGTTGAAGAAGTACCAGGAAACTTTGAGGAGAATAGAAGAAGAGCTAGAGACTCGATTCCTTGAGAAAGAAGTGTGAGCTTTGGCAAACAAAAGAACACCGTGGTTTAGTGGTAACTCCGCCTCAGCTTGGTCCCGGTGTACACGCACAGCCCAGGGCCTGCGGCAACACGTTTCCCCTCTACCGGAATCTGGTCGAGCCCTGCTAGACCACACAAACCGTAGAACTCCAGCCCTAGAGAGTGACTGCACAAATCCATCTTCCTTAATAACTGTATCACATTGGCACTTGGGCTCATAGTATGGGCAGCACGTGTATACTAAAAAGTGTTTGTGGCAGACAACCTGCCCCAGGATATTCCTTATATTTCAAAAAAGACCTTACAAGTAATACCACCCTCTCTTTCTCCAAACGTGGAAGTCACCCATACAAGAAAGACATGAAATGCATTTCTAGACACCCTACAGTTACTATATGATGAAACTCAAAACTGTGCACTCTACTGAGCTCTGAATATGTTGATTAGAAAGGATAAGCCCCCCATTCCTTGAGTTGGTTTAGAGTACAGTGGTACAAAACCAAAATCCTTACTTGTATTTCTTGACCCTCTTTATGAAGTAAAACTTAGTCAGAATGTATTGATGTTTATTAAATAGATATTAAATATTAATCGAAGCTGTATGTAGCCTCTGAGCAGGCCAATGGCCTAGGAGCTAGGTTCTTGGGACCTAAAGACACCTCCAAGTCTCTAGGACCTTTGCTGAGCCTTAAGGAAGCTGCCCTGTTAATTAAGTGAAGATTCTATTATGGAATTGTATAAAAATGTCTTTTGCAGTAGGTGGCTACTAACTACATGTGACTACTGAGTACTCGAAAGGGCCCAGTGTGCCGGAGAAAATGAATTTTTATTTTACTAATTTAATTTACACAGCTACATGCGGTCCGTTACCACAGCATTAGAGAATGTGCCTCTAGGTGATAAAGCTGTCTTTAAGTCGCCATCCAGCAATATGAATATTTGAACACTGTTTTCCATCCCTCTCTTGGTTCTTTTCCCACCAGGTCAAAAGTCTTGAGCATGGAGTCTAAGAGGAGAAAGTGTGAAGGCCAGAATAGTGAGGTGAGCACACCACACCCTCTCCAGCTTCTCTTACTGCTCCTGACTCTCAAGGAGTTTCCAAAAGATACATCACCATATACACATCCAATTTTTTTGTGTGTGAATTTTCCAAGAATTGCCTATTACTCAAAACCATCCTACTCCTAAAACATCCAACAAGATGTTAAGGAACAATTAACACCTCCCACTTTATAAAGAATCCTTCCTGGACCTCAAGTTTATATTTGTAATCCCACTAGAAGTTGTTGGGATTCTAGTGAGTCAATTCAAATCTACCACTTCCAGTGCAGTCCATGCTGAGAATAAAAACTCCAAGGCATATCTGCAGTTATGCGGAGACAAGGAGTCCTAAGTCCAGACATCTGGGTACCCAAGGCCGTACCTAAGTTTTATTCATTCATGAAGAAGGGAAGGGCTTGGGGATGAGTGAATGTGAAAGTGATGGGGAATTGGTGGGTGTTGTGAGCTGGGCTTGGTAAGAAGTTCAAAATCACCTCGGCAATGTGCAGAGAAGGATATGCAGAAAGAGTAATCTCCATGTCACAATTGGGATAGTATCTAATATTTTGGGTACTTCAGCTCTAACGTGTAATCTTGTAGGCCGTGGGAAGTCATAGCCCCTATCCTGAGGAAGCTCACCTCAGCTAGTAGTGTGAAGCATTGGAGCTTCATCTGGTCTCATCCCAGCTCACACAAAGGACCAGGGCGTGGGGGCTCCAGGGAAACATGCCTGCCATCTTCAAGGACTACCCCCAGCACCTCAGCTAGACCAATATGCATTGCTGAAAGCCAACTGAAGTGATAAGGAAAAGTCCTAGCCAGCTCTGTACATATCAATACATGGAGATGGGGTCAGGCTCAACCAAAGCAGAGAGAATTGCTCTCTTCCAAGGAGAGTCACTCAGTCCTCCACACTCTTCAGGGCATAAGGAATAACAAATTCTCCAAAAGCTAGTCTAAGAGAATTCAGAGTGGAAGCAAGGAGGGGATGCTCTCTACAATGAAAGCCAGCACATGGCATCCACTCCACCCTTCCAAACTCCTGCAATTGTATGTTCTTTCCTGCAGATCCCAGTAGAGTGCTGGATAGTTCACAGCACAGGGCCCTAAGCATCCCTCACCCAGAAATTTTATGCAGTCAAAAAGAACTAGTTTTAATAATAACAAAGAATTCATCTCTTCATTAAAAGACCATACAAATCATTATTTATTTGGTACAGGGTCTTATTACACAGCTCAGACTCATAGTGATCCTCCTGTCTCAGCCTCCCCCATGCTGGGATACTGGTGTGCAGCACCATGCCCAGTTTTTCTGTGGTCAGCATGGCACACCTGGGGTTTCAGGCCACTATGGGATCCTTGAGCTTGCCAGGAAAGGGCTTAGGCCACTGAGCTATCTCCCTAGCCCTTCCTTTCCTTTTTTATTCCATCACAGATTATGTGCCTATTAATTGGTACCACCCATACCCTCCTAAAAGCCACACCTTTGAACCTGTGACACTTTGGGGGACATCTACATATAAGCCTACTGATGTTTAAGCAAGTTCACAAAGAGACTGCCTAAGCAATTGACTATCCAGCATTCTGGATACCCTCACTTGAGCTGTAGACCTGAATTTGTAATCCAGAAAGTTTCTAATTCTAATTCCATGAACCTCATCTCTACAACTCTAAAATCTTATAATTCCTCTCCTTTTCGATCTCACAAGTAAGTTAAAACCACAAATAAATATTTTGGAAAAGAAATGTGACTGAAATCTAGAAATCTTTGTCTTTACACTGTTACAGCTTTCAAAGCTTCTCTCTTAGGAGACCTCTGGGCAGTCTAACAACTGGTAAAGTCCTCCACATTAGGAGGAAGATGGGCACACTTTACAGGACTAAGAATGGGAAGCCAGGACCAGCCCCATAGCTCAGCAAACTAAAGCACCTGCTTAGGCAGAGTGCAGAGGCCGGGTTTCAATTCCCAGCCTGCTGTGCTGGCCCCAACCCCAGGGTGCGACTAAGACTGGGTGTGGTGGTGCGTGCCTGTAATCCCAGCACTTGAGAGGCTGAAAACAGGAGAATCACTCTGAGTACTATCTACATAGTGAGACCCTGTAGACATTGTACTAAATACATAAGAAAAAAAAGAATGGGAAGCCAGAGGGTCCAGTGTGCATGCCCAGTCCAACTGCTCAGTAGCTATACTACCTTCCACATCACACTAAATCTTTAGTTTATTCCTACTAGTATGTAAAATGGTAATAAAATAGTCATAAACATGTAAAAGACTTCTGTCTTTGAAAGTTATATGCACTTGCCAATATGAAAAGAATTTGTAAAACATTTTTTAAATATAATATTCCACACATCCCTCACTAAATGTTACTTGACAGTGATAACAGTTTCCAGGAAATTCCCTAATATCAATGTTTTCTCTTCTTCTTTCAGTGTACTTCTATCACCGAAATGGCAACATGGTTGGGTAAAAGGTAAGCAAAGTATCTTGACGTAAGCAGTGTGGAAAACTAAGAGCACTCTTTAGCCATCCTGGAAGAGAGCAAAATATAGACAGGAAATACTTTGTACACACATGCATGCACCCGCACACACACACACATGCATGTGCACAAACACACATATCAAATCCGCAAACTAGTGCTATCAACTGTATTCCTCAGTTCTAATGTTATGATTTCATTATGCAAAGGCAAAGTAATCTCACCTTTCCAGTGTTAGAAAGCCAACAATCTTGTAAAAAAAAGGAAAAGAAAAGAAAAGAAGGAAGGAAGGAAGGAAGGAAGGAAGGAAGGAAGAAGAAAGAAAGAAAGAAAGAAAGAAAGAAAGAAAGAAAGAAAGAAAGAAAGAAAGAAAGAAAGAAAGAAAGAAAGAAGGAAAGAAAGAAAAAGAAACATGATCACCTAAAAATAGACACAGGGAATCTTGCATTTCTTTCCTTTCCCTTTCGACAATTTGAATCCGCCTGATGCGTGTGGTTTCCCAGCAGCAACATTTCACAAGAAATGGATTAAAGTGCTCCAAGATCCCAGTTTACCACTTCCTGAGAGGAGATAGAAGAAATAGAAAAATTATTGCAAAACAAGCACCTGATCTAGCCAGCAAATAATAATTGCCCAAACGCTTGTTCAACTGAGAAGGAATTCATGATACCAACACTGGTGTGGATATTACTCCTGAGGGAGTCACGGAGATAGCAAAGTAAAATCGGTAGTCATGAAGTTCTCACACTTTCATGAAGAGGTCAAATTATGCTCAATATGATCTGTTTAAGCAAGCATAAAGAAACATATATTCAGAGTGGTATAAAATATGATTTCAAGAGTTCCATCAAAATAGTTAATATAAAATTATTGGTGCTAAAAGGTCAGCTGCAGTTGTCTGGAAAAATTTAAGAAAAACACTCCTTCATACTAGATAAGTGAAGTATTACATATTCCAATATCCCTACATGCAACATTTTTATAAAAACTAGCAGAATTTTCCCCCCGAACTCCAAGGCTGCCTATAACCACAGAGCTCAACATGGAATCTTCTAGGCAGGTTGAGGACTGACTGCTCTGAAGAGAGCTGGAGGCCTGAAGAGGACCTGAATGAAGACAGCCTGCAACTCTAGCTCATCACGTCTAACGCTAAATGTTGTCCATCTGTTCTGTCCCGACACCTTGTAGGGTACTAGGCAGTAACTCGAGAGAGGGAAACTAGATTATTCCTAGGATTTCTCTGTGAATGTAATCCCAGAACCTTCCCATAGGCACTGTATTAAGTCTGAGGGAGAGAAATGGAGAAAGGTTTGTAAAGACCTTCTATTCTAATTCCACGTAAGCTGCTGTAATAGAATGAATTCTGGCTCCTGTCGCAAAGATAGCTGTAGAAGAAAACTTGAGAAAGCTGGTAGGGAAGGGATTATTTCTGACAGGAAGTAGATAGTGAATTTTTTCTGAGGCAAGAGTCAGCCTGGCATATCTAGGAAGGGGTAATGTAGAAAAAGAAATGGTAAAGGTTCACTTATGCAAATTATTTTAAAACTATAAGGGCTAAGTAAAGAAGAAATAAGATTGTCAGGGTAAAGCTTATAGAAATTTATTAAAATTTAAGATAATATGAATGAAATACCACGATAGTAGATAGAAAACTTTATATCATAGATATAAATTGTCTCCAAATGATTAGTACATTCAACTCAATTCTAATCAAATTCTTCAAAAGATTTTCCATAGAATTAAGTGGAATGATCCTAAAATATCCTATATATGGAACAGTAAAGAGCCAAGAATAACCTAGATATTTTTAAAGATGAACAGGAAGTGTGGAACACACCCTGCTAGATATCAGACCTTACTGTGGAGCAGTAACAATTACAGTAGGGTGGTTCTGGCAAAGAAATGGGACAGCTGACTGACAGGATGGTCAGTTTAGGTCATGAGCAGTGGTCAGAAACAGTGCACACGAGCACTTTGGCATGGGACAGTGGCTCCATGTCAGAGAAGAAAGACTGTTCAATAAGAACGACACAGGGGGAAGATAGCTGCCCATGTCAGCAAAAGATTGGCCCACTACATAAGATATACAGAAAAAATGCATTAAAGACTTAAATGTCAACACAAAATAATCTATGAAATTGCTTGTTTTTTTTCTGCTTAATGACTTGCTACCTCCCCCCCAAAAAAATGGCTTTAACAAGAAATGTTTTCTCATGGTTTCTGTGAGCCACTTTTCTGTGAGCTTCTTAGCTAAATGGGTCTGTCTCAGGGTCTGTCTCGAGCCTGTGGTTTACATGTTGGCCAAAGCTGAAGATATTTGAAGGCTTGTGTTTGGCTGGAGGTTCTAACTCCAAGGTAATTTACTCACATGTCTTGCAGGTTTTTCTAGTATTTTGCAGGCGATCTGTTCCTCCTCAAATGGACCTCTTCAAATGGCTGGCTTCCTCTAAAAATCAGGGGGAAGCCACAGTGCCTTGTGAGGTAGTCTGGGAAGGCACTGTGATAGCCACTGTGTTCTGTTCTAGTAGAAAGGAATCATTAGGTCCCATCGGCACTGCAATAGAGGGAGATCTCTTGAAGGAAAGAGTGAGAGAATCTGTGTACATATTTCAAAACTACTATAGAGTTTTAATTTTTAAAAAATGAGTGTCTTTACAGCCTTGGGCTAGGAAATTATGTTTTAAACAGAACATAGAAAGCATTTCTAACATTAAGAACTTTTGTTCCTTAATACTTTGGAGCAAACAAAAAATATACACTTGGGGAAGCATAAAACATTACATGTAATAAAAAAGGATTGATATCAACAACATAAAAAGAACTTCTATAAATCAATAGGATTCCCTCCCCCACCCCCACTGGCTCAGGCTGCCTTCAAGGAGGGTCTGGTAAGGCATGTGGAGCTCGGGATCGAACCACAGTCCCCTGCGCATGACTGGGTTTGCCCAAGCAGGTGCTTAAACAACTGAGGTAACTCGCAGGCCCTATAAATCAATAAGAAAAACCCACAGCCGGCCAGATAGCTCAGCAGAATAAAGTGCCTTAGGGAGGCGCAGGGGCCAAGTTCCATTCCCAGCATGCCATGCTGGCCCCACTCCCAGGGCACACTGAGACTGGAATAAGACTGGGCATGATGGTGCGCACCTGTAATCCCAGCACTTGAGAGGCTGAAAACAGGAGCACCAGTATGAGTCCAATCTGTGTAGTGAGACCCTGTACTAAATACATTAAAAAAGCCCAAACTAGTATATAAGTTGGAATAATGAGACACACGAAACCAGTAAGTTATGAATAGATGTTCAACATCATTTTTCAACAAGGAAGTGCAAATTGAGAACAAGAGGGATGTTACTTTGCACCCATTTTATTGGAAGAATTTTTAAGGACTGATAATATTAAGTGTTAACAAGGATGTTGGTCCAAAAAATGCATATCTTGCCTGTGGGATATGATTTGATATAAGGCCTTTGGAAAACAATTTGCCAAAATAAAATGAACACAAAATCAGGGGAAAAGATTTATTATAGAAGAGTGGCATGTGCCATAAAAACCAGTATAAGGGAGTGGGACTCCCTTTATAGAGTGACAGGAATGATGACCACACCAGTAAAGATGTTAGGATCTCAAGGTGGACGCGCATGTGCATTCACTGTTTCTGTGCCTATTTTGCTCCTCATCTCCCCACCTGTAGGTAACACAGCTTCCTGGCTCTCTCTTTTCAGGATTTTTCATTGTCTCTTTTTCATCATCCTATTTTTGGTCAGACTGCTGGGATACATGCTCTTGCACATAATTTTTATCAATCCAGATCTCCTTGTCAACACCCTGCCAAAGATACTGAGCAGAAGCAACTTGTGGAAGCTGCGATGTTTCCTTTTTCCATCTCTCACTCTTGAGACAGAGGACCTGTTGCCTCACTGACTCCAAGAAGCATTGTTGGCCTACAGGAGGCAAGCTGGACCACAGCTGTGGATGGGAGATGTCGGAGACTGTGGAAGACAAGATGCTCTTCAGTTTCTCCCTTGAGCATTGTCTATCAGATGGCTTCCTCTTCTGAAATGTTAGTCCAAGATTAGCCTTGCCCAGTAAAGAGCTCTGTCAATAGCTTTTGTGTCTTTATGAATACGCTGAATAGGGCCTGATTCTGTGGCTAAACAAATAGTCCCCTTGAGCGACTAGGGGATTTTTAGATGTTAGGCGAAATTACAGTTGAGCAGTGATTCTAGTGAGTCTCAAACATCTACAGAGATTAAATCCTTAAATTTAGATTACTCACTTTTTATATTAGAATTTTTAAGGCAGTCGTGGAGAAGTTTTAGAGACCAGTACCCAACCTGGCACCCAAAACCCACATACTTATCACAAAGCACCAACACTGCAACTAAGCCTGAATACTGAGGTCTCAGTTTAGGAAAAACAACTCACACATTAACATTTTTTTTTCTTAAAAAACAATACATGTGCCATGTGTTCACTGGCACTTGCTTAAGATATAAGGGATCCTAATATATATATATGTGAATATTTTTACATAAATTACATACATATATATTTTTATATGTATGTAATTTCTTCATAGAATAGAAAAATGAATAGCATAATGAGTTTGAAACTTTGGGCAGGCTAGGGCCTGCAGCTTCAATGTTACCCACTTTTATCTGCTTTGCTCCTCTCTTTTAATAACAGGATGGTTGAACAATCCTAAATTCCATACTACCAGGTTATCAACCTTAGCAGAATAAAATAGTCTTCCAATAGCTCTATCATAAGGTTCAGAGAAGAACACATGCACGCCTACCTGGGGTCAGGTACCTACATTTCACCTATGCTCAGTGTGGCCCAAAGCATAGGCATTTTAGCTAGTCATTCATTGATGCGGCCAATCCTTGTGATGAGGTAAAGGGGGAAGAAAGAGATAAGGGAGTTAGTTCCAACTAAATTATGTAGAATTCATTTCCCACAAAAAGAGGCTGTGTTTCCATGGAAAGACAAAAGGAGGCTGCACAGGCAAGAGCCAATGTCAAGTTAATCATTAAACTCTAGCAATTACACAAACTCTTACTTCATGTCTTCTACCAATGAAATTACAACTTCTCATGATCATAAATGACATACTTAAAAACTCCTGCAAGGAGCTTAGTGCGAGAGCTGCGCAATTAACCCACCTTCTGGGGGAACACTACACGAAGATTCTAAATTAAAGGCCTGGGGCTGGCATAAACTAATTCACTAATTCATGGTCCCATGTCTTGTCTTTTCTACTCCAAATTACCGAAGCCCCCACATGCCTTATAAACAGGATGTGTCCAAATTCCTTCTGGAGTTCTCCTTCTTTTCTAAGTGGTCAGGAGCCTTGACAGCTCTGCAGTGGTGCGCAACAAGGGGTCATTCTGGCTTCCACAAGGACTAGGAATCATCTGGAGATGCCTCAACCTCTGCTATTGCTTCTCAAGGCCACACGGTGTCACTATTGAAAAATGAACTACACAAGGTGACCAAATGGGAGAAACACTTGATCACTGAAAAGGATATTATCTAGACCAGAAGAAATCAGGCAGGACTCTTTCAGAATAACTTACATGCAATTTAAGATCCTGTTCATTCTGTGTGAACCAAATCTTCAGGGTTCAGAGCAGCCCAGGGCAGCAGCCTTAGGATTCTAACACCAGACTCAATCAAAACTGCTTCTGCTTATGTGTGGTGGCTGGAGACTGATCCCAGCAGTGTGAGAGGCTGAGTCAAGAGGGTCACCAGTCTGAGCCCTGCTTGAGCAATTTCATGAGATTGTTTTATAATTTTAAGGGGTGGGGGTGTAGCTCATTGCGAAGGCCCTGGGTTCAGTCCTCAGTAATGCAAAAGATCAGTTCCAGGTACAGTACTGCAGGTTTAGTATTTTCAGTTTGTGGAGGTTTCAGTTCATACTCAGTTGGCTCCAAGGCACAGTGGCACATGGCAAAGGGCAGCAGTTCATGGCAGAGGAAAACAGTGAAAGCAGCAAGAGCAAAAAGGGAGGAGCACCTGACCCAGGGTGGGTGCAGCACTCCCTCCCAGAATCCCAGCTTTTGATCATGAATCAGTTCTAACCTCTAGAAGCCCCTGCCCATGGTGGCATGAGCCTTTGGGGAGACAGCTGGACAAAAACATTTTTTTAAAAAAAACTCTAGTACTGTGTGGTGTTGTAGCAACAGGACAAGAGAGACATAGATCTGTCCTTCAGACAGGGAGGAGAGAGAAATAAACCACATGCATTCATGATAAATCCTATTTTTTAAAAAGAGTAATTTCCAAGATGACCTCTAACAGATCCACAGATTATGCTAGACTGGGGGGAAAGTGGCGTACCATCTACTAAATGAGTCAGTGAAGCCATCTTTTACTGAAAGGTTGAAGACTTTACTGTTTTCTATCCTAAGTATTTAAAACAGAAAAAACCAACTAGTAGTACCAAGTAATGAGCAAAGTAAGCTGTGAAAATGCATAGAACTCTTCAATTTTTTGCAACTCCAGGCTTGAGAGAAACCCTAAAGTCTTTTCCTAGCTATGGTCAGGGGAATGCACCAAGACATTTGGTGCCGCATTATTTTTTTCTGCTCTGAACAGCAGTCAAAGCCGGGGATCTGGGGGCACCGAGAAGCTCGTGCTCACCGTAACAGGCGCTCTGCGTGCACTGCGGGAGCACGCAGGCTGCTGCTCACGAGCAGCAGGCCGCAGAGCGTGAGATCCGGGCTAAGTCCTGAACTTGAAACTTGGAAGTGCAAAAGAAAAAATTCCTTTCACGTTCTGTGGTCTTAGAGCACTTAAGAAAACTTGCCGTGTTTTTTTGTTTTGTTTTGTTTCCTTTTATATGTTATCATCACTCTTGTTTTGTCTGCTGTAGCTAAGTAGATCCAGGCTGAAAAGACACTAAAAGTTGCAGAGGACTCAAAGCCTTTATCTCAGTTTAAAACATATACATTGTCCTTTTTGTGACAAAATTAAGCGTTGATTGTCTTCTTTGGGGTCGTACCTAGAATAAAAAGGTACCTGAGAATGAGAACAAAATGCCCAATGCCTATTCTGAAAGTAAAGTCCACAAAATTGGCCTCAGAAGACAGAGAAAGCAAAATACTTTTTGTTACTGAACATTACTACTGCAGGAGATTCTGTGGCGTTTTAGATGTTTTATGGGAAAGTAAAGGTAGAAAGAAGGGAGGGGAGGAGGGAGAGGAAAAAGAAGAAGGAAACGGGGAAGGTTAAGGTAGCAAAGAGGAACGGAAAGCAAAGGGAAAGGAGGAAAAAAAAAAAAAAGAAGGAGACAGAAAGATCCACTGTCAGTGTGAATTGTAATGAATCACTATTATATTTTTATTTCAATTGTGTTTGGCATTTTCAATTTTATGAAACTCAGAAACAGATCTTTTACAAGGGGTTGAGGATTCGGGGGTTGAGATCACTAGTTGTGAAGTCTTTCTGGTGAGGTGCTGGGCAACCGCCGCCCCTGGGCACTGGGGGTGGCCGCAGGGTGGGGAGCGGGTAGCTGGCAGGCCGGCCGGGCAGCTCGGTCTGCAGCCCTGCAGGAGCCCGCCCGGCTGGCGCGGACTTCACCCGGGCCGCGTGCGGCCTTCGGGAACAGTAGAGGGCACTGTTCCCTGGAACGTGGAGCTCGCAGAAGCCTGTCGCATCTGTCACACCTCTACTCTGTGCAGACGGGTGGCCCGCAGCCCTGATGACAGCTCACCGGTTCCATTTTCCACAGCTGTGTAGGCTGGAGCCAGGTTTTAACAAAGGTATGACAATAAAGTATGTGAGCGTGCGATGCCAACCAATGTGTGCCACCTGCCTACCTACAGAATCTGCCTCGAGTCGTCAGAATACGTGCCCTGGGTAGAAGGGTTTCTTTCTTTCCTTCCTTCTTTCTTTTTTTTTTTTTTTTTTTTTTTTTCTTATTTATTTATTTATTTAGAGGGGTTAAGGAGTACTGGGAATCGAACTCAGGACCTTGCACTTTCCAGGCAAGCGCTGTAAAAGGGTTTCCTTACCCAGTCTCTGTCCTTAAACCCATGTCCACCTTTAAGCAGGACTCTAGTCTCACACTCTGAGAAATCCCCAGGACAGATCTCAGCTCCCAGTGCTACATCTGGAAGAGCCCCTTGGTTTCCTGGAGATAGAGGGACAAAAGATGCCTCTTGTTCATCACACTGCAGCAATTGCCTCGGTTATTTGGTTTTCTTTCCTTTTCCTCTTTGTTGAATCTACTTTCCCTTTCCTTCGTCTGACCTAAAATAAATAAATAAATCCCAGCATCACTCATCTCTCTTTTTCTTTAATTATATTTTCCACTCAGCACTTCAAAGCTCAGGAGTTAACTAGAAAGTTCACTGGGTTCTTTGCAGCACAAATATAAATGCGATGTTTCAGCCCATCTGAAGACAGTGTGGCTTCAGTTTACCATGAAACCCAGCCCCGCCCTCCTAAAGACCTGCTGTTCACAATCGTAGCGTGCAGTGGTGCAACACTTACTGTGTGCTGGGCGCTTTTCTAAGCATTTCATGAGCACTGCTGCACTGAGCACAGTCTTCCAAGGTAGGTGCCCTTATACCCTCTTTCCAAACAAGGGAGCCAGTTCCTGAGAGTAAAGAACACACCCACAGTTCTCATTTGAAGCTCTGCGCTTGGCCTTAACTTAAAAACTTGGTCACTAAAGCCTCTATTGCTTCTACAGCGCTACAGAGCAGCTGGTCACCCAAGGAGGGGCGGAGCCTGCTGGGTGTGGCCCATGCCCCCGTGAGCAGGAAGCCCCAGAGGCTTGGTTGTGTCTGCAGATGAACTCGGCACCAGCAGACGCTCAACCAAATGCTTGCACGGTAGCTGGAGTAGAAAGAGTCCTTGCTCAGGACCCCTGTGATACTTTCTCAAGATCACGAAAGAAGTCAGGGCCAGAACACAGGAGAAGATCCTGGCCTCCTGAATCCTTTCCAGTGCGCTTTCTATTAAACCAGCATTTCAGGGTAGGCTGGAAGGTAGGCAAGGAGGGGAAGTAAAAATGACTGAGATGCAGTATGCAAATATAC